CCTCTACAGACGCTTACCAGACCGTCTATAAACATTTCTGGCTGGGGACTCGGCTCTGATCTGGCTGTGATCGTCGTCCTGCTGCGACGTAAAATAATTCCTGATGTCACTTGGGGGCGGACGTTAAATTGCCTCTTGATCAGCCAGATCATCCGAGTGGAAGGCTCGTCGGCGTACGAGGGTAAATAAGAGTGTTGTGGCTGCCTTGCTCGACGATAACCCGGGGCACAGGAGTGGGACCGGATTGCACACCTTTAGACACGCTTGACTTCAGATGCTTAGGGACGTGACACCGTGACATTGAGAAGAACTGTGGGAGGGGTAGGTTCCAGGTGATAAGTTCGGGTTTAAATTCCATGCTATGAACAGACCCAGTCAGTCAACATTATTTTATTTTGATTAGTTAGATGGACAACCATGTGACATCTGACAGACATCATTAGTTTAGAATATTGATTATTCCTGATGCTTCCTCTGTTTGAGAACTAATCTTACTAAAAATAGTATTGACGGTAGGAATCTGACTTACCTGTTGACCCCAAATGAGATCTGTTCCAAAGTAGCCACCATTAAATACTTGGTATGTGCACTATGCTGCGGTAGACATCCTAAATGATCTAGTGTAAGCGGTGCACAATGTTGTAGCCTATGAGCGACAGTGAGGACACCAGAGAGGACGACCGCAGGATCTTGCGATCAGCTAGAGGCCCGATAACTCATGTGTCCCTAGGACCGGGGGGTGATAGGGAACAGTTCCGCCGACAGCGGGAGAGGCAGCAACAGAGGAGAGCTAGAGCAGCCGAGGCCAGCAGGGCATTAGCTAGTGAGGCCGGTGCTACAACAGCCATGGCTACCACAACCATGGGCACGTCTGCGCAGCAGACTTCCCCAGCCGAAAGTTCAGGTACCGCCGGGTCTACGGTCGCGCAGACCGTGAGTCAGTCCACAGGCTTAATGGCAAGCCAGCCCGCGGTGTTGACCCAAGAGGATGTCGCCATCCAGCAAGCAGCCCTGCAGGAGGCACAACTACAGCAGGCTTTAGGACAGATAAAAAGGGAAAAAGAGATGATGATTAGAAGAAAAACCAGGATGCAACGGAGAGGGACARACATAGAGGAGTTAGAGACGATGGACCTGACGCATATGGATGATGATGTGAAGGTAGTTAGGAGGGCCCTGCTAGGCGTAATTGAGATGCAGGAGCATCAAACTACCATCCTTCAGGACATTCAACAAAGCCTAGACGTGTTGGCAGGCCGCGCTCAGGCAGCACCATCACCAAAAGGGCCTGGTGCCTGGCCCGTGCCATATCCTCCTTTTTCTGTTCCACCGGTGACTGGGGTATCCCCATATGTAGCCCCGTCATCGGTTGCTATCGTTTCCCTGGGCATGCCTCTGTCAGGAGGGGTAACAGCAGGGAGTAATTTACAGGTTCCTGTACAGACAGTGTTTACTCCAAGTCCGTCACAGGTTGCAGTCACCACGCAGCCTGCTGTCTCGCAGCTAGTGCAGCCTCAGGGCTCACAGCCCTAGCAACTAGCACAACAACTTGTTTCACCGGGTCCACAGCCTGGAATGATGCAGGGACCGGGACAGACACAGTGGGTTCCAAAGACGGCCATCGCCGCTCCCAAACCTTTTACCGGGGACAAGAGAGGCGAGGACCTTGACACATGGTTGAGGGCAGTGTCGGTCTACGTCAGGTGCAAACTCACCTTGCCGCATGAAGAAGTGTTTGTGGCTGCCTCCTACCTCGAGGGTAGTGCAGCAAGATGGTTGAGTGGTCTAGTACAACTTCAGGGATACGGTCATGACTTCCGCGCTTGGGCGGCCTCCCAGAAATTGGAGGACTTCCTGAAGATGGTGGAAGAGAGGTGGCATGATCCTCAGGAGGCTCAAAGGGCCACTGACGCGATCCTGACATTGCACACACGACAGTTTAAGTCAGTAAGGGAAGCCACCGATGCTGTTAAGCATTTGATATGCGTCCCCGGGGTACGCTACGATCCTCAGGTCCTGTTGACTTCGTACCTGAGATGCTTTTCACAGCCTCTCAGGAACCAGTTCCTTCATTTAGCAAGGTGGCCCTAGACTTGGAAGCAAAGATAGGGCATGGAGAAACACCCACTACGGAGGGGAGAAAGAAGACACTGCCTCCCAACTGGAAGGCGAAGGGTCGCTTAATGTTTGTCGACAACGATGGTTCGACCATCGAATTGGATGGCAACTTCCAAGAGGGAGTAGGTGCAGAGGCAGGTGACGAAACTTCAGAGGGTGGAGTGGTCATCGTCGTAACCCAATAAAAAGGTAAGGGGACCGGTAGACGCCGAGGAGGCTCCCGGTCTAGGAATCAAGTTGACCCCAATGCTCCTCCATGGGAGAAAGTGGGTCTTTCGGAGGACGTGTGGAGAGATCGGTGGAATCGCCAAACCTGCATTCGTTGTGGCCAATACGGCCATAGCCAGTTCAAATGTAGGAATAAGAAGGTCACCGATAAGATCCCGCCTACTATTGGGCAGGCGGTAGGATCCTCATCTCCCGTAAGTAGCAATGTTGCTAGTTCGTCAGACACTGCTCCGAGAAACACGTCAGGCCAGTAGGAATAGTAGTTGTTCCTACTAGGGACGAGGTGGTGGAGACACCCTTGCCATCTCGCATCATGGCCCAAGCTACTGATTCCCTTGTCGTCCCGCAAACGCATTCAGACCCATCGACCCTTTGCTCGATGAATGTGTTTGAGTCCTTAGAGGAGCTAGAGGAGGAGTGGTCTAGATTGGACCCGCTAGCTTCTTGGACGGCACTAGCTAAAGCCCCGAAGGGTGAGATGTTCGTCAGTGAGATAGTTGTAGGCGGTCGCAAGGCCGGGGCCTATTATGACACTTGCTCGACACGAAACTTTATTAGTCGCGCGTGTGTTGAGAGGCTGCGTTACAGGAGCAAGTGCAGCGCCTGAGTCAACCTGTGGAGTTGACCTGTGCCAACAAACAGCGCATGGTAGTCCATGACTACCTTCAGGACGTGGAATGCCTATTCCCGTTCGCCGGAGGGGAATTGAGGCATCGTGTCTCATTCCTAGTGAGCGACGATCTCCCTATGGATATCTTATTAGGTATGTGCTACCTCTCTGTAGCACAGCCCCAGTTTGACTGGGACCGAAAAGTGGTCAAGCACACTTTGCCAGGTGGAGGGACCGCCAGATTACGCAAGTTCAAAGCTAGTAGTCTGATCGATTCCCATGGATGCATGTGTGCGGCCGCGTTCTATAACTACTGTAAGGAACATTAGGAGGAGGGTATGTACTTAGTATATGTCTCTGCTGCAGGCGAGCCGGTGAAAATGCCGCCGGAGATAGAAAGAGTAGTTGCCAAGTACCCTGATCTATTTGAAGATTCAATAGGGGTTGTTGATAGGGAGGTCGTCCACGCGATAGAGATTATCCCGGGGTCTAGTATTCCGAAGGGTAGGATCTATCGGATGTCTCCAGGCGAGCTTGACGAGCTACGCCGCCAACTCAAGGAAACTCGTAGAGAAGGGTTGGATCTGGCCGAGTGTCTCTCCTTACGGATCTCCAGCACTATTCGTACCTAAGAAGAAGGAGTGCACTCTCAAGATCTGCATTGACTATAGGGGCCTCAATGCCATCATTGTGAAGAACAGAGAGCCCCTACCGCGCATCGATGATCTGTTAGATAGAGTGCAAGGGTGTCGGTATTTCAGTAAGATAGATCTGAAGTCCGGGTACCATCAGATTGCAATCCGGCCCGAGGATCAACACAAAACCGCATTTCAGACCAGCTACGGTTTGTATGAGTTTGTGGTGATGCCTTTTGGCCTTTGCAATGCTCCTGGCACCTTTCAGCACGCTATGAATCGGATATTCCATGACTATTTGGATAAGTTTATCGTCGTGTACCTCGATGACATACTTGTTTTTAGTAAGACTGTCGAGGAGCACATAGCACACTTAGACAAAGTTCTCAGTCTCCTGCGACAGCACAAGTTCAAGATCAACGGTGAAAAGTGCGAGTTTGGCCACACTCGTATCTTGTACTTGGGTCATGAGATCTCCGCGGAAGGGTTGAAGCCCGATGACGCGAAGGTGGCCAGCATTCGCGATTGGCCACGTCCTCAGTCTGTGACTGAGATGAGATCTTTCTTAGGAATGACAGGCTATTATAGAACTTTCGTGAAGAACTATAGCATAGTGGCTGCTCCTTTGACTGATCTGACTCGCCTTGACACCCCATGGGAGTGGACAGATAAGTGCGAGGCTGCTTTCAGACATCTGAAGCATGCATTAACGCACTATGAAGTCTTGAAACTTCCTGATCCCGACAAGCCGTTCATAGTCACCACGGATGCCAGCCAATACGGCATTGGCGCCGTGCTCGCGCAGCAGGAGGGGCCAAAGTTGAGGCCAGTTGAGTACATGTCTAAGAAAATGCCGTCTCAGAAGTTGGCTAAGTCCACTTATGAGAAGGAACTCTATGCAGTGTAGAAGGCTCTCACCCATTGGAGACACTATCTCCTTGGGAGGTTCTTCATCCTCAGAACTGATCATCAGACCCTGAAATGGATGAGAACCCAGCCGGTACTCTCTGACGCTCTCAAGCGTTGGATCGAAGTCATTGAGCAATATGACTTTGACCCTCAGTATCTAAAAGAGGAGTATAACAAGGTTGCTGACGCCCTGTCGCGCAGACCAGACTTCTCAGGTGCGCTGATTACTGAGTTCAGTCTCACGGACAATGTTACTCAATCTTTGGTGGAAGCCTATCGCGAGGACCGGTTTATGTCTGAGATCATACGCAGACTTGAAGCGAAGGACAAGAAGACGTCCGCCGAGTTTGAGTTGATTAATGGCTTGCTGTTCCTTGAGAAGGCAGGGAATAAACGATTGTGTGTTCCCAATAGTGATACTTTGCGTAGTTTTTTTCTAGGTGAGTGTCATGATGCCACCGGTCATTTCGGGTATAAGAAGACTGCAACCAACTTGCTGCAGCGATTCTGGTGGCCCACGATGATGCGAGCTGCACAGCTGTACGTGGAGACTTGTCAAGTTTGTCAACGGGACAAGCCCCGTACTCAGGCTCCTCTTGGGATGCTCAAGCCCCTTCCGATTCCGGAAAGGCCAGGTAAAAGCTTGTCCATGGACTTCATGGATACGCTGGTCACCAGCAAGAGTGGGATGAGGCAGATCTTCGTCATCGTGGATAGATTTAGTAAGTATGCTAGGTTAATAGCCATGCCGGAAACAGCGAAGACCGAGTATGTAATCAGGCTGTTCAAAGACAACTGGGTGAGGGATTTTGGATTGCCTAAGTCTATTGTAAGTGACAGGGATGTCAGATTTACAAGTGAATTATGGAAGGCCGCTGCAGCTGAACAAGGAACTCAACTTCAAATGACTTCTGGAAACCATCCAGAAGCAAACAGTCAGGCTGAACAGATGAACCGCGCTGTTCAACACCTGTTGAGGCATTACATTAAGCCCAATCAGGTGGATTGGGACGTGAAGCTTGCTCTTGTTGCCATTCTGTACAATAACGCTGTACACAGCGCTACCGGGGTAAGTCCTAACAGTCTACATCTTACTTTTAGGCCTAGACTGACTTTAGACTTCCTACTTCCAGAACCCAGCCAACTGTTACACCAGGCACTTTGGAGTTCGTTTATCGTTATGAACAGAAAATGCAGGAGGTTGTAGAGCACATGCAGAAGGCGCAGGCAACAATGATAGAATCTGAGAATAAACACTGCCGCCCTTCTACATTTCAGGTTGAGGACAGAGTCTGGGTCAAGTCTTCAGAACTGGGACAGGAGTTCGGGATATCCCGCAAACTCATGCCTCAGTACTTTGGACCTTGGGAAGTTTTAGACGTAGTAGGGACAGATCTTGATGGCCCATCTTATGTCATCCGTATCCCTGGTCATCTCAGAACTCACCCAGTCTTTCACGCCTCTAAGCTCGCTGCATTCAAGGAAACTGATCAGTTTCCCTCTCGTCGGTCAATGCTGCCCCCAACCATGGACGGAGAAGTCGACATCGATGATATTGTCGACCACAGGGAGATGCCCGTTCAGAAGCCTCCAGGAAGGGGACGTCCTCCAAAGCCAAAGCTGCAGTTTCGTGTCCACTTCAGACATCACACATATCCGAAGGAGGACCGCTGGTTTACTAGGGAGGAATTGATGCAGACGCTCCTCAAATCGTTGCCCGCTATGAGAAGGATGTATTGAAAGGAAAGCGCCAGATGGCTCAAGATTGATCTTCTCAGAGGACTAACGAAGATATGGAGGAGGGAATGCGAGGCTACGCCCGCTCAGCCCCCTCGGGGCCTTTTTTGCAGTATGTCGGCCGCCCTAAGTGAAGGCAGGCGCGACAGGCCCTCAGGGCCTCGATTTTCAGGGTACCCCGCAACTGGTGAAATTCAGACAGTTGTGCTGCGCCAGTTGGTTGAAGGCGCCCAGGCCCAGGCCATATTTTGCAAATGTATCTGAATGGTGACCTGGGCCAGACTCGTGGAAAAGGCCGTGAGCAGGCCAAGGGCAGTTGGACACATGTAACCATCAGGCCCTGGGCCTGCGTGTGAGGTATGGGTCTGTGCCTACCGGGGCCTACCGGAATCTTCCTGGACTGGACGCAGGCAGGCCACTTCGATATAGGGAAGGGCCTGCCTCCTCATTCGGTATTCGGGTGCTGGCTGCATGTTGCGCGAGCGCTGCTGCGTTATTTGCTGGCAGGCTGGCACTCACGCTCTCACTGGCGAGCAAGAAGGAACGGGCAGCCATAACCGAGCTGCTCCGCTGTGAGCTGGGTGTGATGCAGGGTGGTCCTTGGGTGCAAGTGGCATCTGTGTGGTGTGGATCGGGGTTGTGAGTGTTGCGAAAGACATACCTGGTGCTGGAAGCGTGCGGCA